CCCAAGTCACAGGATGCAGCCGAGCCCAGCGTATCAATGGAAAAACCACAACGTTTCCCGAGAATGGTCAATTATTTGATGAAAAAGAAGTTTTTGTGCGGTGAGTAGGATGCATCGAGCTGGCAGACTCGTTAGTTTATTGAAATACTACGCGGCTCGCTCACGCAACGGCTGGAGCGCGCGCATATGTGGTCGCTATTGCTGGAGTGCAATAGTCGTGCAGGAGCTGCACAAAGAGCAGCTCGATACTCTGCCGGCTCGTACCTCGGCACCTCTCTTTCAAATTGATTTTTTTATTCCAGCCAACTCGGCCTCTTTCGCTCCATAGAATAGAAATAAATACAAGTTTTATGTCTTTCGGCGCGTACATCATAAAAAAGCCATTTCCCTTGGCAGGCCTAGGCCACACACGCGCGCGTCTAGCCGGCTATATTTAATACATACATTTATAATGCGATGAGCTGGATCATCTTCAAATTGACGTTAAAAGCTGTCTACAACTGTGAAAATGATGAATGCAACAAAAAAAAAAAAAAAAAAAAAAAAAAAAAAAAAAAATAANAAAAAAAAAAGAAAAAGAAAAAAAGCAAGAGAGAAAGAGAGAGAGGCAGGCGTGCGTTGTGTATTCGGACTCTGAAAGTCGAGTTCGGGCTAAAAGCCTGACTCACGTATTGGCCATCGTCGACTAGGATATAAACGTAGACGAGCATAGGCAGCTTGGCTCGAGACTCAACATCTATTATATTATTAAGTGGCCTACGCGAGCATGAGAATATCGAGCCAGGGGCTTGGATGTAGTGCGCGAACATCAGCTGGCATCGGCTCGAGCTCGTTACCTTGTGATTTTTCGGCTTGGCTATTCATTTCATTGAATAACAATTAAGCAGATGACAAGTGTTATCGAGCCCGACGTATTTAATATACAGGCGCTTTATTAAATACCTCAATAGCGGCTACGGATAGACCGGGCCGATACACGTGCGTGGCAGCTATTACACCTAGCCATTGTATGTATTTGGAGAGGAGAAGAAGAAGAAGAAGCAGAAGAAGAAGAAGAAGAAGAAGACGAAAAAGAGCAAAGATGGACAGAGTCGAGTCATCGGAGTCACGCCGCGCATACAGGCAGCATATAGGCATATTAAAGGCATGTATATACATGCGTGAAAACAGCTCGAACGCGCGCGGCGGCTTTGATTGAGCGAACGAGCCATGATCCTCTACAAATACAGCTTTACACGCAGCTCGCGCTTCGTAATATATAATCCATTCATTTGTATAAACTGCCTCGTTCCGGCTGGCCTCTCGAATCCCGACTCGATGCGTCCTTGGCGCTTGGGCCCGCCGCGGGACCGCCAGACCTGCAGCCCAGCGCCTCTATATAACATATCGCGTCTATTCGCCTTATCTCTTGGCTGCTCTTGCTCATCTTGGCTCGTTGGACGAGCGATAATTATTACTATGCGTGTCAAGTGGAATCGAAATAGAATCGGTGAAATTGTCTCGATCGACGCCTTTCCAACTTTTTTCACATACGCAGCCGCATACCGAATCATCTCCGAACATCCGAGCTCCGAGTCTTTGCGAGCAGCCTACAAGACTCGTTGTTGCCAGCCAAGAGAACGTAGCGCCCCGAATACTGCATGGCTGCAGCGCCCGATGCACCATACTCTCCTTCTCTTGCTCCATCCTCATCATAATCATCATCATCATCATCATCTTCTTCTTCTTCTTCTTCTTCTTCTTCTTATTCGTTTGCGGCTGTTGGACGCCGCGTCCCAACATCCGTACGGCCATGTTAGCATCGGTGCAATTTCAATTAGTATTTCATCCAGCCTTCTTCTGCATTTACTCTGGCTCGACTGCAATAATCATCCTTAACTTGAATAATCCAAGCGTCTGATTTATAAGCAATTATAATTTCAAACCCTATCCTTGCGATTTCCCCTTTAACACATCTCTGAATAAACAAATAAATCAAGGACTTTTCTTGGTCATTCTCTACTCGGGTTACTCATCTATCATCAAAGAAAATTAAGAAGCAACGTTCCATCGACATATTTCGTGCAAAATGTTGCCACGAATATGTTAATTAATAGAAAATATTCAAAGATATTGGAAATATTGGAAGGCAGTCTCGAATCACTCGTTGATGTAGGATTCAGTAGGCGCAAGTAAATGTTTTTTTGAGCAAAAATCAGATGGATCGTATTATATAACGATCGTAAAGGTATTGGCGTGTAAGAGCTACAAAAAGATTAGAACGGGCCATCTTTCTTTCTTCAAAGGTGCCTGCGCAGGTGGTTCTCGACTTATCTTCATGGGAGCAGGCTAATATTTCGAACGGTCAACTTGTTCATAAAATGCGCCGATTTGTATTTTTTTGCGCGTCCGGACGCGTATATTTATGTTTTTGCCGAAACCCGGTCCAGCAAGTTTCGCTCGGGCGCGCGCGGATAGCTGCGAGTATAAAGTAAGAAGCGGCTGCCCGCCCGGCTGCGCTCTGTACAAACGTGTTTGTATGCGCTTGATGTATATATACACGAGCCGAGCTGATACTTTGGCAGATAATTCAAAAGCTATATACACGCAGACAATTTAATGATGAAATCATGACAGCGCGAAAGCCCCTAGTGCACTCGCGCGTCTCTCCCGTTGAAAAATGTATACGTATATGTTTATACAAGCGAACGCGGCTACGGCGCTCAACAAATAATATAATGGCATTTGTTTGCGCACGGCCACAGACACGAGACTTTGCATAAAGCTGTAGAGAGCTCGGCACGTAGACGCTGATTAATCGAAAGTATCGCCTCGTCAAATATCATTTGTCGGTTCAGGTAGTTGGATCGACTCGAGTCGGCCTCGTGCTGGCCTTTTTTCCTTTGACTAATCACGCGCTCCGATATCCGGCCCAAAGATGGTCTCTCACGCTCGTAGCGATGGTGGTCGCGTCGTCATCGCGAGCCCAGCTCGAGCTGCATCGAAAAATGAGATGGCCTGGCTGCAGCATAAACCGGCCTGCACAAGCTGCACAGAAAAATGAACGAGAGCAGCAGCAGCAGCAGCAGCAAGAAGAAGGAAGAAGAAAAAAAGCCAAGTACTTTATAGTCGGCATTAGCGTATTAGAGATGAAAAGCTCGCGTGCAAAAGCTGGCCACATGCGAGGCCGCAAAAGCTACATGTGCAACACGAGGCGCGCGTACGTAACCGAACGCCGCAACTCGCTCGCGTCGTGCGCGAGTTGGCGCAGTCTGGCGCAAGGAAGCGAGCCAGCTCCTGGACGAGAAAAAGGACGACTCGGCTATCGGGGCGTTGCCTACTCCTCCTCCTCCTCCTCCTGCTGCCGCTCCTGACGGACGAGTCGCTCGGGGGAGAGTTCGAGTTCGAGTCGGAGCCAGGAGGAGGGTCCGAGCGGCACCACTGGCAGCTGCAGCAGCTCGGCACTCGTAGGGACCAACGGGCCGACGAGGGGGCGGGCCTCGGGACGCGACTGGCCGAGGCTCTCGGCGTCGGGGCGTGGGCCTCGGGGGGCCGCTTCAGCACCGCCCACTCGGCTCGACCGGCAGACTCGGCTGGCGCAGACGCTCCGCGGCCAGCAGCTCGACAGCCACGCTCACACGGCTGCGGCACCGTATTACCTTTGCTGAGAAGCATCGCGCGCCGCCACCGATTCGCGTCTTCTGCTAATTCCGTCGCTGTTTGTGTGTATAGAGAGAGAGAGAGAGAGAGAGAGTTTGACGTGTCTGGACCGCGTGGCCGCGTCCCTACCATTGTGATTCGGCAATTTACCCAAGTGTGCATATCTACGAGTTCGGTGCTTTTTGTTCGTCGGTGATTGTTGTTGTTGTTGTTGTTGTAGTTGTTGTTATTGTTTGTTGTTTGTTTATGTTTCGGTTGTCAAGTGCAGCTGACAGCCGCAGCCGAGTGCGTCGGACGCGAAGGGAAAAATGACCGCTGGCTCGGGGCCGCTGGGCCAGTTCGGCTCCTGTGCCAGCTAAATAGGCAGCGACGGCCCATCTCTGGACTCATGAGATGGACTCATCGATCGCCTGGCTTGCCGCGACGGCCCAACAGCTCGAGTAAGCCAGACACCAGCCGTAGCCCGAGTAGCCCGAGTAGCAGCAGCAGCAGCCACGGCCCGACGAAACGATGTGACTAGGCGCAGTCGGTTGCTCGCTGCCTAGAGGCCCGATGATCGGTAAGCGCCTCCGGATGAGCCCGTGAACGCACCCCCCCTCTCAGTTGCTAATCCAGTAGCAGTGCCGACACATAACCTCGATAGTGCGCGACGACGAGACGACAACGAGCTCGACCCCGAGGCGAGCCATGAAGGACGAGTCGCGCCACTGAGCTCCAGTCCGCTCCACAGCAGGCAACAGCCCATGTCGCTGCGCAGCTCCAGTCCGGCCCCGACGCTCTGCCCCGAGCCGGACTGCCCGATGGCGCCCAGCGACGCCGAGTCCGAGAGCAGCGAGGTCCTCAGCGTGGGCCACGAGCCGGCCCCGACCCTCGCCGACGACAGAGACGAGCAGCGCAGCCCCTCGCCGGCCTCCTCCAGCGGCTCGACCCCGCTGCTGCTGCTGAGCCAGCTGCCGGCTCCTACCCGCTCCAGCAGCCAGCCGGCCTCCTCGCCGGGCTCGGCCAGCCTGGCGGCCTCGTCCCCGGGCCCCGAGGGCGCCGCCGCCCTGCCCAGGTACCCGCTGGCCCTGCGCCAGCCCGAGCTCGACTTTCCCGGCCTCTACCGGGGCTTGACGCTCGGTGCCACGCGGCTCTCGCTCTCGCCGCCCAGCGCCGCAGCCGCCGCCGCCGCTGCCCTGGCGCTGCCCACCCTGGCGGGTCTGTCGTCGGGACTGGTCGCGCCGCCGCCGCCGCCACCACCGCCGCCTCCGCCTCCGCCGCTGCTGGGCCCGCTCGTCGCTAGCCCGATCTGTCTTCAGGCCGCCGGCTCGCCCACGCTCCAGTCCCTGCACCGGCTCTCCGTCAACAAGATACTGCAACGCGAGTCTCCGGAGCCGCAGCTCGGCATGGCTCCCTTGGCGCTGCAGCAGTCGCCCCCTCGGCAGTCGCCGCAGCAGCAGCAATCGCCGAACCAGCAGCAGCAGCAGCAGCAAGGCCAACTGAACGGCGGCCACCGGCTAGCGGCAAACGGACTACGAGGTAACCGCGAGGCCAGCTGCAACGACAACAGCCAGCACCAGACTAGTCTCAAGTTCAGCATAGATAACATACTGAAGGCGGACTTTGGCCGGCGGATCACCGACCCGATCTCGCTGAAAAAGTCGCGCAACAAACGAGCCCCGACGCGGCCGATCGACCTCAGCAAAGACTTTTCCCTCGAGAGCTCGTCCGAGGGCTCCGAGCGGGGCTCCGAACGCGGCTCCGAGGCTGGCTCCACCAGGAACGTCTCACCTAGTCTTCAGCTGGCCAACAGTCCGGCGCCCAACCCGGCCACTTCGAGCGCCGCCAGTCCCAACTCCAGCTCCGAGACCGGCAAAGTCATGCAGTGGCCTGCCTGGGTTTACTGCACGAGGTACTCGGATCGACCGTCTTCCGGTGAGTCAACAGGCCCCTCTTTTTCCTCCCTTCCTTCCTTTTTTTTTTAATTCGCTCATTATTGCGTGTTCCGAGCATCGAATGCTCGACATCTTTCTCAGTTAGAGACAACACACACACGCACACTCGCTTCTATACGATTATTACGATATAAACTAAACATTTTTCTAGCGATTAGCCGATTAGATCCGTTCAAATTAATGTAGTACTGCGTACTAGCTGGATATTTTCCCGCTTTGGCGATTCATTGCTCACAAATTTTTTTCAACTCAATATTTTTGAAAAAAAAAATAGCTCAAATTTGATCAATTTATTGCGCTTATCTCTTACTTGATATGAGCACGTATGTATTGTACTTGGCTATACATAGATTGCCTTTCTTAGTTCTTTAGTCATTACGTCTTTAAAAGGCTAATCAAGATTTTTCTTCTAATCCTTTGTAATGCTGCTTTTATTATTATCAATATTTACATAAATTGAAACGACTTTTGTTTGTTTAATCTGTATTAGCTTTGTTTTGGACTCTATTAACGTTATCTTACGACCGAAATACAAGAAAAAAATTGAAGAAAGTTTCGAAAAACCATAAAAGATTATCACGCATTGACGCAACTCAAAGATTACCATTCAAATTAAAAAAATCTTCCGAAACAGTCTGAAAAAATACACGTAGATTCTTTGTTTCATTACAAACAATTTTGTTTCTTTATACAGTCAATTATCATAAATTTGACTTTTAAAGCTAATATATCGTATTGAAATATAAAAAAAGTTTTGTTCAGTGCACCTTGGAGAAAACGGGATAAAAACATTTGGCTGCGAAGATGGTTCCTTACAAGCTCTCTTTTACGAACTCGAGCAATCTTTATTTCATCAATGCAAGAATAAAAGTCGAGTTATTTTTGAATATTTCTATTCGGTCATTCGAAGGATCTCCGACGCGCTCGATCAAATAAAAAATCCGAACAATAATTACTTGCAACGTCCCAGCAGGCTTTGTTTCGATGAAGTTATTAATTGGGACGATCGTAGTCTTGCAATATTTACGAGACGAGCGAAACGTTTGGGCTCGCACGTATGGAAAGCTCGGCAGTGAGTTGGGTAAATAATTGATACATAGACATTTCAACAAGTGCGTTTTGAAAAAGAAAAGAGTTGGCGTGTGCGGATCGAAAAAGCCGAGCGCAGGATAAAATAAATGAAAAGCAGCAGCAGCAGCATGCGTGGGTGGTATAGAGAGTAGCGATAATTAGCCGAGTCGTACGGGGCCGACTATCGCTGCTACGCTGCAACGGGTAAAATGAAATATATAAGCCGCGACTCGTCCTAGCTAATCCAGTCGGGGGCTCTATATGCACGCGAGGCGTATTTCTCGAGTCGCTCGTCGCTCCTCGCGTGTACTCGCACACTTTCGCAAGCGAGATCGTTATGCCGATTAGCGCCGAGTCTATTCGCGCGTACTCGATGCAGCCGTGTTACGCCTCGCGAGCCCCACACGACGACGACTACACGACTGCTTACGCCGACTAGCAACGAGTCGCAGCTCGCAAATCTTGATAAACTAAACGATAAACTTTGAATCCTCCCCTCGATGCTTTGCTCGAATGCTCGCCAAGAGATTGAAGAATCTGCTTGAATTTCGAGGATACGAAACGTTGGACTTGTTTCGTCGTCTCGCATCCGTCCAAGCGCGAGTGGAAAAATTTTACGCGCTCCGACTCGGCTGCGTGTATTGGGCCAATATCGTATGGTCTTAATTGCGCCTAGCCGTGCACCGTATGCGGCTATGCTACGCGTGGATGATATATCCGCAGCTGGCGTGCGCGCAAAGGCGCCAGCTCGAGCAATTTAGCGAAAAAGCGAAAAAAGCGAAAAAAGCAGCGCATCGATCGCAAAGAGCTCCTTATCCTACCACACATTGCTAGACGAGTACACGTTATAGAGGTGGCGCTCTTTGGCCGATACATGCGACGCGCCTCACTCACGCTAAAGCACAAAACAATCCGACTCTCGTCCATGCACGACAAATGAAACATTCAGCCCCACCATCCTATAATACACTCGCTTACCTACATTGTTTTCCGTCAGCTTGTCTCCCCTGACGAATACCTTTTTATTTACCTGTAATACCTCGTAATACGCTCTACCGCTCGATACTCGTATTTTACACAGCAGACCGTATCGTGCCTCCTCCTTTGCAGCAGACGCTGCCTTTATTTATTTCTGCCTATACTACACTCGACTGTGCATTTGCCCGTGCATTTACTTGATACGCCAACTATTGCCCTTACTTACTCGCTACGCTCATTTATGCAACAACAACAAACGTCCTTTTTATTCTATTCTCATATTTTGCCCAAATATATTCTCTCTTGCATACAAACCGAATTCATGACGGAGCGACTTTTTTATTTATTCAGAACCAATTGTAACGCCAAAGTAGAAACAAAAGTACTTGATAAAATAAAGCAAATTTGAACCACTCGAAAAAATTCAATTGTCAAGCTGCTTTTGCCTTAGTTTTCATAGTTATAAATAACGTTGAAATTAGTATATTTTGCACCATGAGACTGAAAAACTGGAAAGCTTCAGAGCACGTGATTATCAGCCTAGGACACTTTCTTTTTTCGCTACATACGTGCAAATACAATTTTTTGTGAATCCTCCTAAATTGACATTTTCATTTCGCTCAGCGGGAGTAAAATGTTACTTTAGGTTGGGGTGGCACAAAAAATTAATTTTTGCCTCATCTTAGTGTCTAAGGCACATCGAGACTCTTGAAATTTCACGAGAAATCGGACGATAATCGTTCAGCAACTTAGAAGCCGTGTCAGAAAAATGCACCTTTACAAGTCGTATCATAAGACATCTGATAGCGCTGTGAAGCACGAGTTCACATTGCGCTTTTTTGTGGCATAATTCGCTTTTTCTGGCACGGAGAGGGCTTAGCGCGTGAGGGTAACATCTACAAATTGAAAGTAAACATTTAATGTACGGCAATTACAAAGCACTCGAAACGCTTCGTATCAACTTATTGTCAACAATTTACTATTCATAATTGTAATGCGTTTGATTCTTCACTTTTAATATACTCGTGGAGAAATTTTGAGCGATAGTAATTAGTAGCGCTCTTGCTGCAGAACAACCCATATTCGGGCGCACATCGTAGTAGGGGTTGGCCCGAGTATCGGAGAACTCGAGACCCAACGAATCACGAGCGTTTCGTATCTAACAGCTACTGTCTAATATGTGTACAGTGTCGCCGTTGATTGAGTTACTGGAGCAGAAGACGAAAGTAAAGGTGCGAAAAGAAGTTTGCCGACTCTTGACGCGATCGTTGCTTTGCTGTGCTCCGATTCGAGTAGTCGCTACTCCGAGTATGAAATTTTTTTCACTGTTTTGCTACAAAGTCAATTCTATAAACGATCACGTGCAACTAAACATTTTATCAAATCGTGGTAGGTTACTTATACCAGTGATTGACCGCTTTCGACCAGTAAATGATCACTTTTGTACGTGCAATAATTATAGTTTTTCCTTGTTAAATTATGATCAAACATAGAAAACAAGATGCATCGTTCACTAAAGAATTGAAATACGTCCATACAAACATATTTTTAATTGTTTTTCATATGATATATTCCAAAATGGTCATTCACTGGTACCCGGTCATTGATTGGTCTGACTACCCTATCTTTATTTTCATACGTTTTACATCAAGCAAATAACTTATTTTCTAGTAAATAATTGTGTTTTATTACTTTTAGTAATTCAACGAATGTGCGTGATTTATTCAATTATTTTCATGCTTTTTTTCATATTGCTTAGCTTTGTAAATAAAAATTAATTTCAATCGGATGATTCAAATTCAATGCGCACCCTCAAGGTGTGAAAATCAGACTTGATTAATTACTTTGGAAAACTAGAAATAAATAAATCATATTTTCCGAAAAATCGAAAATGTGGCCAAGAAATTGACACATCTAATGGGGGGTGGCATTTTGTTTATCTCGAAAATTGAAATTTCTCGTATATTCGGGCAAGAATATAATCATGCGAAAAAGTTCATGTAGCTTTCGATTCGAGAGATGACTTTTATGATTATTTACACGATTAGTGAATAAATCGTTGAAATTGTTTATAAAGAACTAGTTGTGGAGTATAGTAAGATGTAATGTACTGCACACACGTATCTTATTATCGAAGAGCACAAGCAAGAAAGAGGAGGAAAAATGAATAAATTTTCTGCAGCTTGGAAAAAATTGAGTATTTATCCGGAGTGTGCATTAGCGGTTCTCTTTGTCTCAAGACGGTCGGCTAGGCTCGTTATCACTTTTTGGCTGTTTACACGCATATGGACATAGGTTTGGACACAGAATCCAGCAATGCAGACAGGAGGAGAGGAGAGAATAACGTGTTTACACGCATAGAGATAGGGGCTCCGTCGAGTCTCGAAGCTAGGAATAGCTATACAGATGGCGAGTGTGGCAGCGTAACGCGTGCGTCGACTGCCAGGCGAATATTTAATTGGATTGTGGGAGCTAGTAGTCTTTCTCTATATCGCTCGAGCGAACAAAAACGAGTTGAATAAACACTTATCTTGGACGAATCAACGATCGAGGGAGTTACTTAAAAAGCCGAGCGCGGCTTCGAGGGACTCGAGAAGAGAGAGAGAGAGAGAGAGAAAAGTGATATCGGATAGGCCGCACATAACACGGTGTCCGCGTTCGCAGCGGATTCTGCCGTGTAGCTACATAACACGCGCGGCTGGAAAAAGCTGGCACGGCTAACGTGCGTATCTCGTTGCTCGTTGCACCTTGGGAACAGACTGCCTCGTGTTTTTTGCCTTCTGCCCATTGTTCTACGAAATTCAGACTCGATCGGCCATTTAACAAGCCAATTGTTCTCTTTCACACGAGTCGTCGCCCTAACGCTCCATAGCCTCGAACGCAGCTTCGTTTTACGCTACATTTCATTGCACTTTAATGCGGAATTTCAAT